ATTGCCATTTCAAAGTTAGAATCGCCTGGCCCATGTGGTTGTATAGAATTGAAGGCATCCAAATGCCTTGTGAAGAAGTGCAAAGCCCTCAGTGCATACAGTGTTGATTTATACAGATGCAGGTGGGAGGTGCAGCTGCACAGCCTCTGGCATTTCCGCACACCCCTCCTGCAGCTCTGTCAGAGGAACTGAATGTGATGTTTCAAGTCATTGTGAGGAAGCACCCCTCCCCATCACATCTGCAGACAGCGTGTGTGAAATGCCTGGAACCCTCCCCTTTGCCCCTTCCAAGCTTCCCTCTGTCCCCTATTTAAAAATGTCAGCATCCCTGTCATGATCTTGGGAGCAAGCATCATTTCTTGGTTACTCATAAGCCCCTCTGGTAATGTGAACCTTTAGATCATTTCATTTTTGGGTAACACCTTTCCCTAATGAATGGGGTGGGGGGAGATGGGTGTTATAAAGCCCAAGAACCTAGTATTGTATATACATTGCAGGCTTGTTTTCTAACTCTGGATTTGGATCCTTGTGGCACATCATGGCTGAGAAAGGCAAAGGACTGGCCCAGTGTTTGCATTCTGGGAGGCAGATTGTTCTATGAATGACTGAAGAGATTTGGAAAGTTGGAGTTATGAGTTAAATCTAGTAAGGTACAATTGTGAAGGCAGAAGAAAGCTATGCTTTAAGGTTGAAAGGTCAAACAGCTCCCTGGGGATAGCTAGGGAGATGTGACTGCAATGTATTATAAGTGAAAAGGATCTGGGAGTTTGATTTGTAGGCTATTGAGACTGATGTGACTAAAAGTAAATACATTTTAAAAGAGTGAATGCACACTTTAGCTGCATTCATTAGAAGTGTCATGGCTCTTGGAAAGGAGGTGACAGTCTCCTTCCTTTGCTCTGCTCAGAGGCAGCCATTTTCCTCCTGTGGCGCTGATACTTTAGGAGACTTGCTTATAAAAAAGAAAATGATTCTTGAGCCAGGCACTGTGGCACACACCTGTAATCCTAGCTACTTGGGAGGTTGAGATCAGGAGGATCGTGGTTCGAAGCCAGCCTGGGCAAGTAGTTTTCAAGACCCTGTCTTCAAAATAACTAGAGCAAAATGGACTTGAGGTGTGGCTCAAGCGATAGAGTGCCTGCTTTGTAAACGTGAAGCCCTGAGTTCAAACCCTAGTCCCACCGAAAAAGCAAAAAAGATTCTGGAAAAGATTCTACCTGAAATATCCCTGTCAGGGACACCTGTCTGCCAAGGGTGTGAGCATCTGAACTTGATTGTGAATTACAGTTTGAAACTGCTTTCTTCTTTCAGGATAGTTAGAACAAATGTACTTTCCTCCACAATGTGTCATGCATCTATTTCATTTTAAAGTAAAATTTGTTAATGTTGATGTTTTGAGAAGGATGCTTGCTTACGGCTTTGAAAGCATCCAGTGTGTGTCCCCACAGTGACGAAGGCTCATGCTGGGGCATGTGTATAACCGTATTCCATGCTGAACAGCAGAGCCTTAAGTGACAGTCAGGGATTTGGAGCCATGCTGTTAGTTACCTTGGAGAAAACCAGAACTGGGATGAGAATGAGCAGTGTTATAGAAGAGACCTTGACTTTATTCTGATTCTCCAGAGGGTGAGTGGAACTAATGGAATCAGTGTAAACACCTGTGTCGGAGCCAGATTTTCAGAGGCTTCCTGGGGGCCCAGAGGTATGGTTGGAGGGGAGGGAGAGGATTCAGGCAACTGTATCTTACTGACTGGGAGAGCTGATTACCAGTTTCCTGTAATAAAACCTGGAAGATAGACGAACTTCTGGAGGCTGATTTCAGGGGCAGGGATGGACCTAAATTTTCTTTGACCACTGTGAGCTCTGCACCCTGCCTGTGCTCTGCTCTCTTGGAGCTTGCTTATAAGATGCATAGATAAAGGGTGCTTTGTAAGTGTTATCGAACACACATTCCCCGTTTCCTTTGCAGCCAAGAGTAGGCACGTGATAAAGATATTTTTTCCCAGCATAACCTTTTCTGTGTGGCTTTCTATACCTCTTTCCTCTGGGAATTTACTTTGTTAAGTTCCACTTTCTTGGTGAAAGTCCAAGTTATAAAGTTTGAACTTAACTACTTGGTTTAATCTTAGTTAAAAACATATATATGTCCAGATAATATTCACCTAAGCAGAATTCACAAATTGTCCTCAAAGTATCTGTGTAAATAAATCAGAAACAGTTGTCTGATTAGAGCCATTGCTAGCAAACTGTCTGGTGACCTGTCTGCATTGGATGTCTAGGTGTGTGGTAAGGACACAAATATTTTTCAGGGCTTTTGAACAAGGGTTTTTCTGCTTTACACCTGTCTTTTCCAGTGAGTGAGTTTTTATGCAATTCACAGGGAATTCCTGGACTGCATAGTTGGCAAAGTCATTGAAGACTTCCCTAAAAATGCACTGTGCAGTGTCAGGAGATGGTTTTAGGGTACTGGTGATTCTGCCCTGCCATAGGTCAATAGTGGGAGATGAGTGTAGTATGGGACAAGAGGTTGTCAAAGAAAAGGTCTATTTCAGGGAGGACTGAGATTAATTCATTTTTCTCCTTCCACTGGTGATATTACTGTTCCTCTTCTGTTGTATATCCACTGCTGGTCCAGTCTATTTTTCTTTCTCATTTGGCAAGAAGAAGATCTACTGTCATCCTTTCAGACCAACCTCAGCACCTGGTGGGGTGGGCATGGGATTGATGGACACAGCACTGGTAGGGGTGGGAGAAGTCCTCGTTGGTAGGAGTCGGTCTCTTCCTATCATACCCCTTTTAAGGTGCATAGTTTCTCTAAGTAAAAGTTAGTATACAGAGTTAAGATTGACTTTCTGTTCTATAACTCAACTGGAATAAAATTGTGCATATGGTCCTACATCCTGGCATGGCTCTAAAGTGGAAAGTCCACACTGAGCTGCAGCCTGGTGCTGATGGGGTGTTGGCAACCTCTTGGCCTTTGCCCAGTGTTTGTGTTCATTTCCTTTAGATGTAATAATTCAGATCATGGCCTTTGTGATACAACACCAGGAAACTGGGAAGGAAGCATTAACCCATTGGAAAGAATTTGGACTTGGACCTAGCTGGTATGGCTGCGTCACTTTTATCCTGGTCCTCAGGCCCCAGGTCATGGCATGTTGCATGTGCTTCAGGAGCATCAGATAGGCTTTTCCAGAGGAAAGGCAAGGCTTATGGTCTTCAGGGCCATCATTGGCTGGAAAAGGAGACAGGCTTAGACCCATAAGGAGCAGCTGTGGCTATAAACCGCTTGCTGCTTTCCTCTGTCTTTATATTTGAGTGTGCTTAGTCTCCTGGTTTGGGTGAGTTTTGATTGCTCAGTGCTTCTCAAGCTCATGAAGTGCTGTCTAGGGAGAAAGTGCTATTGCAAAGGCCAATCTTGAGCAGGCATCTCTCTCCCCTGGCTCTCTGCTGCACGGTTGGTTCATGTTAAGGCTTAAGGAAGCAATGAAACTGGCAAGAGTAAAATACTTTTTATGTACATGAGCAGTGTGTGGGAGCAAACCCAGGGCCTTGTGCATGCTAGGCAAGCACCTTACCACCGAACCATACCCTCAGCTAATGAAATGCTATTTAAGAACATCTAAACTTTTATGAATGGGGACACACCAGAGTAGCATACAGAGCTATTAAATGGACCCTGCTCCCATTCAGTGCAGGAAGGACTGGCTGGTGGCACTCTGCTGTCAAGGGAAACGGGCTTACAGAACTCATAGGTGGTGGCTGTGTCACTCATATGGGTGTTAGAGCACACAAATACGGTTCATGAGGAGTGTTCAGAAAGGTTTCTCAGAAAAGTTTGACGGGATAGTAAAACCTATACCAGAGAATGTACTAGTGGGCTTTTTAGAAGCAGCAATTTGCTTAAAAATTGTGTCAAATAATTACAAGGGATTCCTGTCTAATCATTAACACAAACCCTTAATTACTCTACTTGGACTGCTCTTATTAGGGGAAAAATAAGTATTTAAGAATATATAGCATTGTTAGAGTAATATTTAAAATTCAGGCATTTTTGGTTTCCTGTCACTTATGACCTAAAAGAATATGCTAGAATTCAGTTATTTTGACATGCATGTGGAGAATACGGGTGGCTGTTTTATCATAAATGGTGAAGTTCCCTAGATATACTCAGGTTTTTGTGACCACAACTATGTCATTAGTGAATGTGGAATTTTCTTCAGCTTCCCACAATTAGATCTAGTAAATAATAGTGTTGTGCTTAAGAACAAGGGTCCAGAGGGCCTGTGTTCATATCCCTGCTCCACCTCCGTCCAGCTGTGGGATCCGTGCCGGTGATCCCGTGTCCTGAATTTCTCATCTGTACAGTGGGGTGAATGGCCATGTCCACCTTCTAGGGCAGCTGTGGGGATTAATGAGCCAGCGTGTGGAGTATCTGAAGGCGTTATCAACAGTATGCACCTGGCACATTACCACTGACATCTTGTTTCATTTTCATTCCAGTTCATCTAATCCACCTAGACTGGCTTCAGATGCCAGCCTTTTCTTGCTTTCCATGCTTGTAGTGAATAATGGCTTTATTCAGGTCTTTGGGGGTGTTCCTGGACTCATCACTTACCTTCTCTTGCCTTTACCAGACCCGCAGGCAATGTAGCAGGGACATTATTTTGCTTCTGTGTTTCCCAGGCTGCACCCTGCTCTTTTATGAGACCTATGGGAAGAATTCCATGGACCAGAGCAGCGCCCCACGGTGCGCCCTCTTTGTGGAGGACAGCATCGTGCAGTCTGTCCCAGAGCATCCCAAGAAGGAACACGTGTTCTGCCTAAGCAACTCCTTCGGAGATGTCTACCTTTTCCAGGTACTGCTGATGCTGTTCGAATGGAGGGTTGAGGCGATCTCTTGTCTATAATTAAGAGAAGGAATGGAATTAAAAGGTAAATAGAGTGAACACGTTGTTAGAAGTTGGATTAGGATGTGAGCAGAGACATTGCAGTAGGGTCATGGCAATCCAGTCATTCCGATAGTAGGCATTTCTTGGGTGTCCATCAAGTGCTAGGCTGTAGTCCATGAGGTGCTTATCAAGACACAAAGAAAACATCACGATCCCTGCTCTGGAGTAGCTCACAGTGTGTCCATGATTCCTGGAGCAGAGGTTTTTGAAGGGAAGCCTGGAGAAGTCTAAGCTGGAGAGGCTTAGGCTCTTTCCTCTGATCCCAGTGGAAGTCAGAAAAGCAGGTTTCTGGGAAATCCTCACAGACAAGTGTCATCAGGACAAGTGCTGTGCAGCCTTTTTCCCTGGCTTCACGATATTAAAGGATAATTTGTTGTTAGAATTTTAGCAACTTTATACCAAATGCCCTGAGCTGTGTGGTAGCCTTGGGCTGTTGAGCAAGTATGCCATCTTGCAGCACTTATCCAACTTCTCTGAGCTTGGGACCTTCAACAAGTAGGTTTATAATAACTTGCAGGATTGCTTTAAGGGTAAAAGATGTGTGTGTTAAATGCCAGAGAACTTTTTTTTTGAGATGACGTCATACTATGTTGCCCAGGCTGGCCTCAAATTCCTAGGTTCAAGAGGTCCCTTTGCCTCTGCCTTGCTGAGTAGCTGGGACTACAGGTATGTGCCACCACACCTGGCTAAGAATTCTAAATATATTAAAAATTAATTAATAATTAATTTTAATTAATAATTGATTTTAATTAATTATTATTAATTAACTAAAACAGATGGGAGTGATAGCCAGGAAGTGAAATGTACTATCCCAGCCCAATCCTAGTACTTCATATACATGTAGTGATGACTGTCTTAAAGGTTCATGGAAAACCTCATAGGCCCATGTTTGGATCTCTGGTAAGCAGTCCTACAGAGCAGGTGTTACTCAGGAGAACTTGTAGACTTTTCCTGGGAACACCAGTAGGTGTAATCTAGTCCTACTTCTTTCCCCACAAGGACTTGACTTACACACATCAGGGCCTGGGATTTGATTTCCTCCTTTTTATAGAAAGATAGCTTTAAAGCCAAGTAATGAATTGACATCTATCAGAATGATGGGGAAGGTAAATACCTGAAACTAATTCTGCATGGATTTCTTAGGTCTAAATGTGAAATGAATATTTTATTTTGCATTTCAGGCAGAATATCCTTAGTCTGAAGACATTTTCCCATTGGTCTTATTCTATGATCGAGACGCCAGTAGAGGCTCAACTCCATGGCTTGGTATATGTGGCTGTTTCTGGTCATCCAGAGAACTGAAAGTGTATCTCAGCCCACTTACAACCATGCCCATTTGCCCATTCCACTTCATCCAAACTTCCCTTAATGTTTTTAAAGTAGAATATTTTTCTACTTTATACTATTGTATATGGTCACTGTGTCTGAAGGTACCAAAGCACAGTGAAAGAAAAACCATTCATATTCCTAATATTTGAAGACAACTTCTTTAATGTTATTGTACAGTTCCTATATTATTTTATTGACAATTTTCATAATCAGTGCCATACAGTAGATGTAATTTTATATCCAGCAGTTATAATTTAATATTTCAATCCTAGCATTTCTTCATTCCATTAAAATTAGGAAGATAAGCAGCTGATTCCAGAGTGGCGCAATGTAACACTGAGTGGACGCTTGTTTTCCTTCACTCCCATTGCTGCCCATTTGCTTGGTCTTAGTCATATTTAGGGCTCTGTGATTGTTTCTACTCAGCTTTCAAAGTTCTTCCAGACTTTGCGAACCCGAGTAGAGTGGTTGGGTGTGTTTCTGAAATTAAACCATTTTTATGAGTTTCAGGTACCTCTTGGGTTTTACACATCAAAGCTCAGTCTTCCATTTGGAAGAGAACTTTTGTATTAAACTAATTTCAAATGATTTTTTTCCCCTCTCTGTGTTTAGGCCACTAGTCAGACAGACCTGGAGAACTGGATCACTGCCATACACTCTGCATGTGCGTCCCTGTTTGCAAAAAAGCATGGGAAGGAGGACACCGTGCGCCTGCTGAAGAGCCAGACACGAAGCTTGCTTCAGAAGATCGACATGGACAGCAAGATGAAGAAGATGGCGGAGTTGCAGCTGTCTGTGGTGAGCGACCCCAAGAACAGGAAGGCCATTGAGAACCAGGTACTGTTTATTTGCATGTCACTTGCAGTGACCAAACGCAGACTCACATGTGGTAGTCATTCATACACTCTGGGGATAACAGTTTTTGTGTCTTCTCAGTTCAAGTACCTAATGGTGCCCTTTTGTAATGAGGGTGAAGCTATATGCTTTGTAGCCTTTGGTGGCCATATACATACAGGTTGAATAATCCTCCTCCAAAATGATTAACCAGTAGTGTTTGGGATTTAAGATTTTTTTCTCTAAGGTTTTTTCAGACTTTGGAATATTTGATTATACATAATGAAATATCTTGGGAATAGGACTTTAGTCTGAACATAAAATATTTTTATGTTTCACATACACATATGTTACTTAGTTTTTTGTTTTTGTTTTTGCAGTACTGGGGCTTGAACTCAGAGCCTGCACCTTGATCCACTCCACCAGCCCTTTTTGTGAAGGTTTTTTTTGAGATAGGATCTTGCAAACTATTTGCCCAGGCTGGCTTTGACCGCAATCCTCCTGATCTCTGCCTCCTGAGTAGCTAGGATTATAGGCATGAACCACGAGTGCCAGGCTGTTACTCAGTATTTTAAAAGATTTTGTGCATGAAACAAATTTTCATGTTGTGGACTGTTACACTGTGTCATGATGGTGCTCAAACACATTTGGGGAGCCAAGCCTGGTGGTTGCACATCTGTAATCTCAACACAGATTAAGGTAGGAAGATTGCAACTGCTAGACCAGACTGGGCTATATAATAAGATCCTGCCTCAAAAACAAAATGGACAGAAAAAAATTGGATTTTGGAGTATGTCACATTTTGTAATTTTAAGTTAAGGATGCTTAATATGTACATTACGATGTTTTGTGACCAATTTTGTTTTTCTATGTTGAGTGGTGCCTTCTTGCCTAGCCTATTTTCTCATGTGTTGTTACTTTCTCAAACAAACAAAACAAAACAAAACAAAAGCAACTAGAAGATTAGATGTATAAGATTCTAATACAAAGGATGGCATTGAAATAAGTGGCTTGATATAACACAGCTATTCCTGTGTCCAGATTCCGTAAAAAGCAGTAACAGATACAGATAACCTGCTAAAGAAAATGCATGCTCTGGTCCGCTTCCACCTTCAGCAACAGGTAGTTCCTGTGCTGTTGGCATTGTGGAGGAGACGAAGCAGCCTTCTCATTTATATTTTCTTCTCAGACAATCCAAGCATGTAGAACAGTGCTGGTAGGATTTCTGGCATCTCTCTCTCAGGTCAGGTTCCCTGGGAAATGGCTGGTATGGAGATCTGTATGTGAGTTTATCTGGAATGCTCCCAGGAACGGTGCTGGTGTGAGGGAGGAGCAGGACTGGGAAGGACTTACTAGTGGGACTGTGGTGTGCCTGGTTCCACAGATAGCTGTAGAGCCTGTGGCCATTCAGAGTTGTTTTGAATTGTGACAATAGGACTAGGCCTTTGTATCCTCCTGTCAGTCTGGCAGGGCAGCTCCCTTCAGTGGCGGTGTGTTCCCAGAGAGGGATCCATCTATAAACTTGAGCAACTGGTGATCCCTGGCAGTAGGAAAGAATTCTCCATCTTGAAAGGTGATGCTGTGTAACATCCACTGTGCCCCCCACCAGAACCAGTTGTTAAGTGATTTGTGAAATGGAATGAGAAATAGGGTGACAGAGTTCCTTAATAATGGGCTGGGAGTGTGGCTCAAGTGGTACAGTACCTGCCTGGCAAGTGCAAGGTCCTGAGTTCCAACCCCAATACTGCCAAAAATTATATATGTAATTATATAAATAAAATCAAAGGAAATTTCAGAGCAGTTCCGTAATAACACAGCAGTTTAGACACACTAATTTTTTAGAAAGGAGTTTTACCTGTAGTGTTTTACTTAAATTGCACGTGACAATCTCCCATGATGTTTGAACGTTTAGTCTTGATTACAGTTTTTTCTTTAATCTGCATATATTTGAAAAACAGCATATATAGAAAGAAACTGTGGCTATAAACAGGAAACTAATCAAAGGCACATGTATTCTGATGATGTATTCATGATACACTAATAATTTGGAATATATCAATTGGCAATCATAAAATAGCCCCCATCTCTGACCACCTCATCAAGTGCATCAAATTATATCTTGTTCCTACCTTTGCCTCTCTTTTTCTCCTATCCTCTGCTGTCTTTCTTCCTTCTCAGTTCTTTCCCTCTTGTTTTTCCATCTGTAGACATTGATACATCAAACAGATGCATCTGTCTTTGAGGAATAAAAAGAATCACGAAATATCGACTTTCTTTCTGTGAAATGTACAATTTAGCTAGAGAGCAAACCTGATAAACATGAAGAATGTTCTAGAATGGTGTAAATTAGGTAACTGGCATCAAATGCTATGAGATCAGAGGGTTGAGGTTGTATGTGATCTTGAGGAAATGATGGAAGAGTGATAAGATCGGTAGAGGTAAGCAGGTGCAAAGGATTTCTAGGTTGGCAGGGGGACAGGGACCAATGAAAGAAGACTCCAGGCAAAAGTAACAGAGAGGTGGCTTGTGGCTCCTGAGCACACCAGTGTAGAAAGTTTAGGCTATGACGTGATGGGTAGTTGGAGCTTAGGTTGGACAGGTGCTGGCACAGCTTTTAGGATCTTTGTCTTATTCTGTAACAAAATACTATAAACTAGGTGGCTTCGAACAATGGAAATTCCTTTCTCACAGTTCTGGAGTGTGGGGAGTTCAAAATCATAGTGTCAGCAGATTCTATGTCTGGTAAGGGCCTGCTTCCTGGTTTTCAGATGGCATCGTCTTGCTGTGTCCTTATGTGGTGGCAGGGCTGAGGGAGCTCTCTGGGCCTCTTTTATAAGGGTACTAATTCTATTCGTGAGGACTTTGCCATCATGAAGATGCCTTCTCCTGATTCCATCACCGTGGAGATTAGGATTTCAACGTATGAAGTTTGAGGGAGACATGTACATTCAGGCCATAGCAGTCTTGAATATAAGGCTTGGATATTAATTTGATTTAATCTTGTTATGGTTTTGATCTTAAATGCCTTCCAAAAGCTCATATGTTGAAGGCCAGTGCAGCAGTGTTCACAGGTGGGGAGTTTGGAGGTGGTTGGCTCATAAGGACTCTGTCCTCATGATGGATTAACCCAGTTTATGAATTCATAGTCTAATGGGCTGTTGGGAGCTGGCAGAAGCTTTGAGATTAGGATTTCAACGGTATGAAGTTTGAGGGAGACATGTCATTCAGCGCCATAGGCGAGTCTTGAATATAAGGCTTGGATATTAATTTGATTTAATCTTGTTATGGTTTTGATCTTAAATGCCTTCCAAAAGCTCATATGTTGAAGGCCAGTGCAGCAGTGTTCACAGGTGGGGAGTTTGGAGGTGGTTGGCTCATAAGGACTCTGTCCTCATGATGGATTAACCCAGTTATGAATTCATAGTCTAATGGGCTGTTGGGAGCTGGCAGAAGCTTTGAGCTGGGGTCTACTTGGAAGTGGTCACTGAGGGTGTGGTGCCACTTCTGTCTCTTTGCTTCCTGGCTGCCATGAGGTAAGAAGTTTTGCTCCACTGTGTGCTCGACACCAAGATGTTCTGCCTGAACATAGTCCCAGAAGCTGTGAACCAAAATAAATCTTTCCTTTTTTTTTTTTTTTGAAATTAGCATATAGTAGTTGTACAGAGGGATACATTGTGTATATGTGCTTACAATATAATTTAATTAGATTCACCCCCTCCCTTGTTCTCCATCATCTCCCCTCCCTCCTTCTTAGAACAGTTTCAAAAGGATTCATTGTTCTGTTTTTCATATGCAGTATACAAAGCATATCCACCATATTGGCCCTCCTTCATCCTATCCTTATGCCCTCACTCCTCCCATTGGTACTCACCCCCTGGGAAGGACCTATTTTACCTTCCTGTCCTTTGTTTTTTTAAGTGTACATTGATAGTTCAGGGGGAGTTTGCCTTGGTATTTCAGGCCCATGTATTGTGCTGTAAGCAGATTAATGCCCCACTTACTCTTTGCCTATCGCCCTACTCCCTTAATTCAGCAGCTTACAGTGCACTGCATGATACTATCTTCATATACAAAATCTTTCCTTCTTTCAATTGATTGTCACATCAGTAGAGAGCTGACTTCTGTAGTCAAGGCTGGGGGCAGATATAGTTCTTTACGTTGGTGAAAAAGCAAGATGCAGCTCAGGCAGTGGCATGGAGGGCTGACTGAAGTGGGGAAGGCAGTGAAATGCCTTTGCTCTGGGGGTGCAGACACAAGGGCAGGGCCCTGAGTGACCCAAAAACGTTGAACGGTTTAGATGCCAAGTATATCCCAGGGTGCATAGTTTTCTATAATTCTGTAGAATTGTGAAGATAGTAACTTACACTCCTGAAAGGAATCGTTCCTCAGACAGGATAGGCCACTTGTTTACAGAGTACTCATTAGGAAATTTCAAACTCCAAAGTCCAAGAAAGCAGGGGTGGAAGGGCCTTTGGGGTTTGACAGGAGCGCAGCTGCTGCTCCCTGAAGCCCACCTGTGTTCTCTGCCCCACTATGTTCTCATCCTGGAGAGTTCAGGTCCCCAAGGTGATGTTACCCACCTTGCGGATTATTGTGCCAGAAGAAGCAGACAGTCACAATATACAAGCACCAGACCCTTTATCTTACGCTCAAGCACATGGGAGGCGAAAGTTGCCTCCCATGTGCTTGAGCGTCGGAGGGGAGAGACAGACACAAAAATTTCGTGGTGTTTCCCAGATGGGTAGGGACCCATCCCTTGGTCATCACGTGTAGAGGTGGCGTTCTCGTCACACCTATGCTCTCTGGTCTCATGTGTCTCATACTCTATGTCTCTGCCTTGCGCTGTGATTTTTACTATTGCAATAGGGTTAAAGGTTACTATGTACACCTGAGTGACCATTCTGTGCATGCATGTGCCCCCCACAGCCAGGGGCCATGCTCCTAATACTGTTTCAGAGCAAGCTACGATAATCAAATGTCTCAGTATATTTGATGAATGATAA